TGCAGACCCATGAGCCAAATAAACCTCTTTTCTTTATAAATTACCCATCCTCAGTTATTCCTTTATAGCAACGCAAAATGGACTAAAACAGCAAGTGATCAAGGTTGCCATCACCAGTAATACATGTGGACATCAAGCAACCATTCACATGTTTTACTGAGGAGGACACATCACCTCTGTGGCATGCTTCTCAATAATGCATAATTTTAATCATAAGAAAACATCAAAGAAACCCAAATTAAGGAACACTAAAAAAATAACTAATAAGGAGACGTCAGGGCAGATAGCAGAGTAGGAAGCTCCAGGAATTTGTCTCTCCACCTAATCAGGAGGCTCAAGCAATCCTCCTGCCTCAGCCTCCTGAATAGCTGGGATTACAGACACACACCACCATGGCTGGTTAATTTTTGTACTTTAGAGGCGGTTTCTCACTATGTTGCTCAGGCTTGTCCCGAACTCCTGGCCTCAAGCAATCTTCCCACCTTGGCCTCCTGAAGTGCTAGGATTACAGGCATGAGCCACCATGCCCAGCCCAGTTACTGTACTTTTTAGTTCCTTGTGTGTATTTTTATTCACACCACTTCTGACATTTATTTTGTAAATCAGCAGGGGGGTGTTGGGGTTTTTCCCACACCAATTCAGCAACTTTCAGGACACCAACTGGGTGTCCTACAATTTACTTCAATTCTGACACCACTGGAATTAGAGAAGACCCCACAATGAGAGACCACTTCACACCCACTAGGGAGATTATAATTTAAAAAATGGACAATAACAAAAGTGTTGGTGAGGAACGTGGAGAAATTGGAACCCTTGTGAATTGCTGGTGGGAATATAAAATGATGTAGCCGCTTTGAAAATGGTCTGGTGGATTCTCAAAAGGGTAAACGTAGAGTTACCATATGATCCAGCAATTCCACTCCCAGCTGTATACCCAAGAGAACTGAAAACACAAAACACGTATAGGAATGTTTATAGCAAAATATTCACAATAGCCCAAAAGTGGAAACCACCTGAATGTCCATCAGCTGTTGAATGGATAACCAAAAGTGGTATATTTGTACAATGAATATTATTCAGCCATAAAACAAAATGAAATATCTGTGTGTTCTATAACATGAATGAACTTTGAAAACATCATGCTAAGGGAAAGAAATCAATCACAAAACGTCATAGAGACAGAAGATTATTGGTTACCAGGGCTTGGGATGGACAAATAGGAAGTAACTGGGAATAGATACTGCATTTGTTTTGGAGTAATGAAAATGTTTTTGAATTAGTGGTGATGGTTGCACAACTTTTTGATGCATATCCTACAGTTATCCTAAGCAGTTCTTCTCCAGGCAATGATTATGGACCTGGATTCTATTCATTAGGGGCTACAGTATCTTGGAATCCTTTATCTCCTGCTCTGTGGGTCAGGGAGACAGTATGAAAGATCACATGGGACATTTTAGGGATAAGTCATAGAAATAGACATATCGCTTTCACTCATGTTCCATTGGCTATAATCTAGTCTCATGACCCTAATCTAGCTGCAAGGGAAGCTGACAAATGTAGCCTTCCTGGCAATTACAGCTTCCCCAGAAGAAGCTATAATGATGACCACCCAACTAGTCCCTGCAACAGAGATTAAAGAGAGACACCATAAATAGAACTTCCTTTACTTACATATTCCACATGAAAATCACAAATCTAGTTGCCACCAAATTATGGCATTATCTTCATTTCTGTACCTGAACCTATTGGCTTTCAAAATATTACTTGTTCTTAAGAAGAGGAAATTCTTTAATTATCTCAATAATGCTGATTTAAAGCAAATTTCTTATTTAAAGCAAAAACAAAACAAAATATTTTTTAAAACTATTAGTAAGCTAGAGCAATAGAACTTTGTTACTTGATAAGTATTTTAACAAACATTAAAAGTTACTATGAATTATGAGAAAAAGATGAGATGTACACTATCATCTCTGTTATTAAACATCATACTATATGTCCTAGCCACTGCCTTAGGACAGAATAAAGAAATGAAAAATACAATATTCAAAAAAGGGACAAATTGCTATTGTATAAATGATTAGGTATACAATAACAAGTGAATCAACTCAGAAGCTCTTGTAGCTAAAAGGATGAGAAAACACTATATGTAGCCATAAACATATCTGCAGTATATTTTTATGCCAGATACACTAAACTGGCTCCCCGATACACATTTTTCTCTTGGTGTATGTTCCAGTGCCATGGTAGCTAAAGAGCTAGAACTACATTTTTCAGACTTTATTGCAGCGAAGGTCAGGAATGTGATTTAGGTTCTGTTGAACACATTCAAAGGAGATTCAAATTCAGAACTAAATTAAGTGGAGAAAGAAGTGCTAGCACACAAAGCATCCATTCAGCTGGGACTAATCTAGACTTGGCATCCTGGTTTTAGAGCCATTCTTCTGGCAACAGATTACTGCTAGGGGAGACAACAGCTACAGTGGCTTGCTAATTGTCAGAGTAGTTTAATACTAGGGCCAACAATGGAATAGTGATTCCAGATTCCCAGTTTCCAGATTGCAGTAGAGAAAGCTTTGGAAGATCAGTTTTGCAATGTTGTTCTGGGAGTCATCCCTGGTAGCTCAGCGTAGAACCTGTTCCTTCCGTCTTTCCATTCGGTTTGGAAACCACTTGATTCCCTAGATTTAGCTCCTTTCTGTCTAAAATAGCTAGAGAACTTTCTGTTTATTCAACTGAGTCCCAACTGATAGGATTGTTAGCTAAAAAATGCAGGCCATTGAACACTATTTGACTTCCTACTGGCAAACCTAGCCCGTGTGTTTACCCTTTTCCCCTGCCCAGTTTCATTGAAATAACAAAGAAAAATGAGAAGGAGTAGGAGGTGAAAGAGGGGAGGAAGAAGAAAAATAGTTGATAGTTGCACCATTAAGTAGGGCATGGGGCCATTATTGGAAGAAGAACATTTTGAAATTTCTGAAAGATATTAAGCCGGTAAGATCAAGTTGAGGGAAGTTAGTGATAGTGATACTAAATTCTCAGCGTAAACAAAGTAGGGCTCCCAAAAGACCTTTGGAGTAACTCTCAGTTCTGAGTATCTGGGTCAGTAGAGGGAAAACTGAAGGACTTCCCCTTGAAAACTATGAGCGAGCCCTCGCCTTGGGTTACTTTCCTTGGCAAGCTCCTCTAGGCTTCATTTTGCTTGGATTACTGGTTATGGAAAAGGAGAGCTTCCACTTGACATGTTTCTAACATGTGAAATGAGGCCGTATGCAGAATTTCGTTTTTATTCAGGTATGTCAGGAGATGATTGCCACTGAAAAGATAGTTTGTTACTCACAGTTCCCAAGGGGAAGGGGGCACACCATGCCACACAGGGCCACACAGGGCCATACGGCAAAGCACCTGAATTGGTCAGGAGTCAGAGGAGCAAGGGGAAAGGTTGGGCACAAGCCTTTATTGTGGTTTCTGTGGGATAGGTAAGGCAAGGCAGAAGAAGGAGAGTTAGGATTGGCTAGTTTGAATAATTTTGGTGGGCTCTGGGTTGTAGGGACTGTCTCTAGTTGTCTGGTACCTGGCCCTGGGATGATTAGGGCAGGGGGTGGGCAGTAGCTCAGTCTGATAAAAGAGGTGGTTGAGCATACGGGCTGTGGATTGGTTGGTTTGTGTTTCAAGGGCATGCTCTCTGCTGAAGCTTTGCTATCTCTTGGAATTAGCTAGCCCTGGGAGGGGCAGTCTCTACAGGGTCGGCTAGGTGCCATATACCAGAGCATAAAGAATACACAAAACAGGCCGGGCGCAGTGGCTCACGTCTGTAATCCTAGCTCTCTGGGAGGCTGAGGCGGGCGGATTGTTTGAGCTCAGGAGTTCGAGATCAGCCTGAGCAAGAGCAAGACCTCATCTCTACCAAA